CTTTCCCTCATGATACCGAGGTAAAACAATCATATATTCAAATGTTTAGCAATCCTTCCTGCTGCTAATCAGGGACCCATCTCCCACCTTTTGTGTAAACCTGGGAACCTTTTTCAAACTGCCTTGACTGAACCATTAGTGGTCAGAAAACCCATTCAACTAGCTACCCAACACTTGGCTAATCCCATCATCGCTATTGTTAATCCAGACTCTGCCCCTCTGGAACCTCATTGGTCACACCTAGGTCTGGCCCCTCCTGGCCCAGGTAATCTTTTGTCTTCATCTGCGACAAGTCCCTCAAGATGTCCTATTGGTTGACATTGTTTTCCAATGTCTATATCCATCAAGGCACATGGCCTCAGAGTGTGTGCCTCTGCCCTGGTGCCAACTGGCAGTCCACCCCCAAACTTTTGTTTTGGTAACAATCTCATCTCCATGGACCTCTGCACGTCTGGACAGGTTGTATCACCCCGTAACTGACCCCTCTATTCTCTATCAATCACCTCTGATTTCTTAGTTTTGTATTGCTTGCTCTTTTTGAATGCTTAGTCTGCTTGTAATTAGGGAAATTCTTTAATAAAATATATTTAATTTACTCTTCAAATCTGGAGTCTTCCTACTGTACCGGACCTTGGTATACAATTGGGGTGCAATCCCTATGCCCCTCTGATCTCCTCTGCCTCATAACTAATTTCCCCAAACAACAAGGCAGGCCATTGGTGGTAACAATCCCTCATGTAGATATATTCCCCCCCCCATCCGCCTCTATGGGAGGCCACAACATGTAAGATTGCTACTGTGCTGTATCCACACATGGTTGGCTATTGCACTTGTGGTACACCAAGGATTTGCTACTGGACTGTCTTGCCCACACAAGAAAAACTAATTGCAGATGGATGCTGAAGTGCAATGCTTGTGCAATATCTAAGTAGGGAGTACTGAGTAAGAGGCACTGAGTAAAAGAGGCTAGAAGCAGAAAGTTGAGATTGGCATAGTAGGAAAGATCAAATCAATTGGCTAAAAATAAGCATTGATAAGAAGGCTCAAAAGATAGTTTTGACAGCTTATGCTCTGAGGTCTTCATCCTTTTTAGCCTTCTAGCCTAAGCTTTTTTGGCTTCTGACTGTCTCAATAGCATTACTTCACGGGTTTAGCTAGATATGCTGTAAGCAGTTAATCATGAATGCAGAACACTCTAGAGAGATCTCTGGCTTGGATGCTTCCTACCATTTTTTTTGAATAAGTGGAAGTTGGAAAAAATTAATATAACCTACAACCCAGTACTCTGATCTCTTGATAATAAATGAGGAAGCTTTAAAAAAAATCAGTCCAAAATTGAGCCACAAAGGCATCAGGAATGTAGTTTCAAGGATGGAAGCCAACGGAACTGGGGGAGTGCAGGGGAGTGTTCAGAACACACTGACACTTCGATGATCTATTACCAAATTACCTACTGTTTCTTCCCAGAAGGTGTGAACAACATTATCCAAGGAACTGTGATTTGAAACAAGTCTAAATGAGGCTTTCTGACCTGGAGCTATTACAAGAGAGAGCATGGGGGCTTCTGCCTCTTGAATCTACTTTAACTTGACCACTATCTCACTGATGAATAACTTCTTTCCTTCCAATGACTTTTTAGCCTTGAAATGCAATAATTTGGGTTCATTCCAGTTCCTAGGGCATCAGTCTGTTTATTACTCAAACTCTCACCCTGCTTGCGAGCCTTGGAAGCAGCCTGGCTTTGCCCTGCATAGACACACTGAGGCAGAGCTGATTTTTCAACCTGCAAATGAATCTGAGAACATTGACAAATTGAAGTAACTATCAGGGCACAGAAAGAACTCATTTTCTGCCCTGTGTGCACATAGATCCAGCTGCAATGCTTTCAAGTATCATGAGGTGATAAAACTTCTCCTATCTGAGTTGTCAGCAAGTCTGGTGCTTGACTAGGAGTGAGCAGATTTTTCCCTCTGTTTTAATGTATACTGTTGTGTGCTGTGTCTAAAACAAATTCCAGAACTGGAGCAAGCACAGTTGGATGCAGGTTTTAGTTCCTTGGGTTCATTTGCATCTCCTCCACCCATCAATACTGATGGGAACATATACATTTGATAGAACTGTGGTGTAGGTGTATCAAATTGCTAGGTGGTCAGCATGGTTGTGTTCTTTTACTTAAGAGATGGAATATAAGCCAGAAATGGAAAATGTGAGAGTTGTTGTCTCGGCTACCCTTGCCATCCTCAGACATTTTGTCCAAAGAGGATGTAGAAGTTGTTGCACTTTTCCCAGGTTATTCAGATTGCAGTTACGCAGGAGAAATTTCAAGATGCATGTTTAGCATGCTCAACCCAGCAGAAATTAAGGGGATTTTTGATGAGGGAGAGTGAGGAAGGGCTTCGATGTCAATCCTTAAGACTTCAGTGTCAGTACTTAAGATTTTGAAGTCGAAGGAATCAAACTGTCAACACTGGGTTGAAATGGTTCATCATGGTTTACCTGGAATGATAGATTCAAGTGGGTACCCATGTTGGTCTGCTGAAATGGCCAAATTGAATTGGGCAGGAGTTTGGTAAATGTTCATGGAAGATGCCTTTCCTGAACATTGGTTCAGGGCCCCCCCCCCCCCCACCGCCCAAAATTCATGAACAGTCAAGAGTTCCGACTGTCAGACATTTGGAATGGCTTCTTTCTGGTGACTGTCTGGCAGTATGTAGCCACTGGATTTGCAAAGCACGGTATTAACTCCTAAGAGCCTAGCAAGGTCCTTTCCTAGCTCAAACTTTAAGTTGAAATCAATGATCTCAACTGGACTCACCAAGTCTTGATCCATGGATCTATGTTGTCTATGGCACCAACTTGGTCGTAAAATGAATTTTCCTGCTTTGGAGCTTTGTTTATCTTGTTTGTGCTTCATGTCCTGTTTTGTACAACTACATCTTGTTGGGACTCTTTCTTCATCATGGTTTACCTGGAATGATAGATTCAAGTGGGTACCCATGTTGGTCTGAAGCAGCAGAACAAAATTTGAGTCCAGTGGCACCTTTAAGACCAACAAAGTCTTCGAGCAAGGGATATGCTTGTATTAAGCATTCCTTGATGTTGGGCAGGCACCTCCAGGATTTATCAGAATAATGGGTGATGTTCTCAGTGTTGAAAGGTTTTTTGTTTTGAGCATGATATGCCAGTGTGCTGGGCGGGGGGAATGGCACTTAATCAGTTTCAAATTCCAGCACACCATTCCTCTTCCCTGGGATTTTCCAATGTCATGGCTGTACCCAGGTGCCTCTATGAGATTCACCAAGTTTCAGATCCCCTTCTTAGGCTGTAAAAGGGGTGCTGATTAAAACAACTATGTCCAAAATAAAAGGAGGAACAGCTATCTAAGGGGTCTCAGCAGGAGAAGGGGATAGGGTCCTCACAGCAGAGTTACACTCTTCTAAATCCATTGAAGTCAATCGGCTTAAAGGTAAAGGTTTCCCTTGCTTGAGAGCTAGTCGAATCTGAGTCTAGGGGACAGTGCTCATCTCTGTTTCCAAGCTGAAGAGCCAGCACCGTCCAAAGATGTTTCTGTGGTCACGTGGCCAGCATGACTAAACACCGAGGCACATGGAATGCTGTTACCTTCCCACCGAAGCGGTACCTATTTATCTACTTGCAATTTCTTGCTTTCAAACTGCATAATTCTTTTTAGGATTGCATTGTGTGTTTAGTAATGGGGCATAGGTAGCCTTGCTAAATTCCTGAGGCCCATAAATTAGCAGGTACCATCTAGTCCATGATGAAAATGTTTCCTATAATTCTGGGAAGAGAAATAGTTGTCTATTCTGAATTTTGGCGCATGCAATCATGCAATGTAGCAAGTGAGGGGCAAAATCATCCCACTCTTACAGACACACTCAAATAGATTTAACCACTGTGGGTGTTTATTGTAGGAGCTGAGGAAGTTGTAGTGTATTTGGTTAGGCCAACAAGACATAGTGGTGCTGTGGGAGTGGAAATTTGGACCAGTAGTAAAGTATTGGTCAGACAATGAAAATTAGGTACACCATACTCTTTATCAATTACATTTGGTCAAACATAAGAATAGATGCCAGACCCTCAACATCTGAAGGATAACAAGCATGACTTTGTTTTCTGTTTCCTGTTTATCTAAGATATGTGGGATTGGAGAGTCTGAATGTGAAGGTTCCATTGAGCTATCATGATTAATATCGCCACATCCTACAAATTACATTTTTTTAAATGCATCTACGCCTACCTTCATCCACAGTTAGTTAAATTGGGATTAACTATATTTCCTCTCTGGTAGAGCCAGTGTGGTATAGTGGTTAGAATGCCAGACTAGGATCTGGGGAGACCCAGGTTCAGATTCCTGCTCTGCCATGGAAGCTTGCTGGGTGACCTTAGACCAGTCATACTCTCTCAACCTAACCTGCCTCACAGGGTTGTTGTGAGGATACAATGGGGAAGAGAAGAATGATGTAAGCTGCTTTGTGTCCCTATTGGGGAGAAATATGGGGGTATAAATGAAGTCAATAAATAAGTAAAATGTATCTGATGGAAGTCCAGTTTAGAACCTGAAGTTGAGTTCCTTGAGGATTATGACATTTTAACCAGCTCCCTTTTTACTTTCAGTTTGAAATGCTTTTAAATATGGTGTTTGTTCCACCCTCACAATAGTCTAGCAAAGTCACATACTTCTAAGCCCATTGACTTCAATGGACTTGGAAGGACTTAACCCTGCTTCAAATGACACTGTGAAACTCTTGCCTGTTCTTTGTGCTTTCACATTTTGTGTGTCACAGGATTATACACGCGTGATAAGACTTTAATAATAAGAAAGGATAGGGTTAGGTTTTCTATTTTGGGGCTCTGATAAGTGGCTTTCAAGAACCTAGAACCAAGCTTGAAGTGATTATAGTATATTCATGCAGTCAGGGCTTTTTTTGCAGAAAAAGCCCAGCAGGAACTCATTATCATAATAGGCCATACCCAACAGCAGGAACTCATTAGCATATTAGGCCACACCCACGATAGCACAGCTCATTAGCACATTAGGCTGCACCCCCGTGTGGTCATCCAGCCACACCCACCTTTTGCTTCTTATTCTGTTTACCTTGTTTGTTGTCAAAACCCAGGGCTTTTTTTGGAGCAGGAACTCCTTTGCATGTTAGGCCACACACCCCTAATGTAGCCAATCCTAATGAGTTTCTGCTGTTGGGTGTGGCCTATTATGCTAATTAGTTCCTTCTGGGTGTGGTCAACTTGGAAGCCAGCCGGAACTCCGTTCCAGTGCGTTCCTGCCCAAAAATAGCCCTGCATGCAGTAATGGAAAATTTCTAAATAACTTTTAAGGAGTATTGGTGAAGTAGAGAGTAATTTCCTTTAACCACATGCCTCGGGGGGGGGATATCTTTTTTGTATGCCTTGCATTGTGTTACATTTTACATTTACATGGATATCTCTTGATAATTGCTTAATTATTATGCCTAATTACAAATGTGTTGTCTTCCCTAGAGCCCATGCAATCTGAGTAGTAAATACTGCAAAGAAAAAAACCAACCACCACAGATAATGGAATGTCTCTTAGCCACTGATGAGGGAGGTAGAAGGCCTGTTCTGATTATGGTTTACAATGATGAGGAAAATTTGTTTACAGGAACCACAGATACGCCATTTCTTTTAAAAATTAAAATGCTGTGCTCTATTACTGTCAGGATGAACCCTTGATGCTGTGGAAAGCCAGTACACCAACTAAGAATGAATGGGTGAAAACCGAAATACAGCTTCCGGCAGGTGTTGAAAAAGGAAAGGTAAGAGAGAAGAATGAAAGCAGCCTAACTGAGAAAGAGCTGAGCAGTTGCATGCACTTTGTTGCCAGTATTTACGTGCTTTTCCTCTACTTGAACAGAAGATTCCCAAAGCATATGTGAGAGGATGTTCTTAGTATCAGAGAATGGGGTAGCTCTCTCTGTTCAAAAGTGCTTTGCGTCACATCAATTGAATGTGCATCTTTTGCTCTTTTCAAACCCTCCAGTGTACACCCATTGCTTGACAGCTGAGCCCCAAGCATCAGGAGACAAGGGGACAGGAGCTGGTCATTTTCCTTCTTGACCATAAGTCAAAGGCCCCTGAGGAAAAGCCTGCTCATGAGTCAGCCAAAGTTCTCCACAAAATGGGAATAGTGCCAAGATAAATATAACATGTTGTCCCCCAAGAAAGTGATCTTGTGCCCTTTTAGAGTAAAGTGAGCCCACCATACGCAGCTCCTTTCCCTTCAGCCCCAAGCTCAGATCTCTCCCATTTCTTCCTTTTCTTATTCCCTGTGCCATCCGAAGTATACAGCTATCTAGAGTGAGATGACAACTGGGCCTGCCAGCAAGATCTGCCAGCAGCAGCTCCAATTGCTTGTCCGTTTTAACGGCTTCCAAGTTCCAACCAGCTGCCACTGGGCAAGTGTGCCAGTTCTGCTGCAGGATTAAGCTCTTTGTTAGGAGGACAAAATGGAATTTCAGAAACCGCGAACACACCTAGTGCTTTTGTAACATGCTGAAGGGAACTGGCTTGTTCCTGTCACAAAGCAGTATCTAGCATCACAAAAACTCAAGACCTTATTAATCCTTCTCTGTTCCTCTTTTCAGCAATGGTGAAATGCATGTCTTATATAGAGAAGGAAATGATAATTGCTTGCAAAAATCTAGGGGTATTGAGATACATATTAAAGCTGATTAAGCGACTACATTAGCAGAACTGATTAGAAGATTGGCCAGTAAAATATGGAATCCCAGGACAAAAATAATAATCAAACATCTCACCATATATCTCACCTTTGTTTTAGTATTATATTTTTGTTTTAAATAATAGTGAAATGCCCTTCTTTCTCTCAGGGTTGTTAATTTGCAACCCAAAGACCCAGTCTAGAGATCTTTAAACGTTCTCAGAGAGCAGAGCATTCTGGTCTTCCACCTCATTCCTGTAGAGCACCCTGTCTGCTGTGGGTAAAACCAGCTAGAACAGGCAAGTGGGTGAAGGTGGGTGAAGGGGTGGTGGTAAAAGAATGGAGTGAGAGGCTTATTTCATTTTACTGCGCAGTGCAATTGGGCTGTTCCCGGAATCCACAACCGCAATTGTCAAGAAGAGACAGTGATATGAGAGAACAAACTGGAATCTACTTTGTAATTTATTAGACGTATTATCATGAATGTGTAATGACTCCATGAACATAATTATAACAAAAAAGATCTAGGAAGTGGTTTATTCCATTCCTGTTGGGGTTAAAGAGCCATAAGAAGGGCTCTGACAAAACTGATATATGATCGCATATGAAGAAAGGAGATTATAAGGGCAGGAGAATTCTGTAGCTGCCTTTCCCTGCTGCTTATAACTTTGGTGTGTTAACTTGTTCTTTCTGCTTGCAAAAGATAACACTCCAATCATTAGAATACTAGATGTATTCCCACAATTAATCCATTAGAACGATTCTTTAAGAAGAAGAAGATGAAGAAAGGAGATTATAAGGGCAGGAGAGTTCTGTAGCTGCCTTTCCCTGCTGCTTATAACTTTGGTGTGTTAACTTGTTCTTTCTGCTTGCAAAAGATAACACTCCAATCATTAGAATACTAGATGTATTCCCACAATTAATCCATTAGAACGATTCTTTAAGAAGAAGAAGAAGAGATTGGATTTATACCCCGCCCTTCACTTGGAGTCTCAGAGCGGCTTACAAACTCCTTTCCCTTACGAAATCTACAGCCAGAACCTGGAGTGGCAACCCTATCTATGTATGTAGATTAAACGTATGAAAGTCATGTTATTAAAATGGCAGCATTTAGATTTCATGAAAGTGCAGCCCAGTCATACACGTTTACTTGGATGTAAGTCTGGCTGAGTATGATATAATTTGTTCCACTGGAGCATGCATGGGATTGTAGGCTTAAAAGATTTGATCTGGCTGTATGCACTGAATGGATTTCACCTGGAAGGACTATACCCCAGGGCTGTTGTGAGGGTAGAATTGGGGGACAGAAGAATCATGTACATCAACTTATACTGCTTGGGAAAATGGCAGGATAAATAATCTCCAGTACATAAATTTAAACATGGGTCATGCAGATTAACACATGCATGGGCTACAGCTTTTCCAGTGTCCTGTATAAAGTCAGCCTTGTGTATAATAATGGAGAGAGAAAATAGGCTAAATAAACAAAGGCTCTAACTAGTCCTATTAATACATCAGTATTTCCACTTGTTTATATAGTTCTGTAGACATAAAACATTAATGATTCTCCCAGCTTGTGTTGGAAGGAACAACCCAAAGCAAGATGAGCTCTATCTGTCTGGATCACTTTGATTTTATGGCTCATAAGATACCAGAGTTGCCCGTGGTTTGTTCTTCTGAAGAGTTTGCCTGTGCCAATGGCCATTGCATTGATAACACCTTGGCCTGTGATTACCAGTTGGACTGCTTGGACGGAAGTGATGAAAATTCAGCAGCTTGTGGTAAGTTAATTTACTTGGTTCAGGTTACCAAGCAGTGGAGATAAGACTGTTTTATAGAGAGTAAGATATGTTAAATAAAATTATTTACAAAACAATAATTGCTAGAGATGCAATAGATTTTCTCTGGCTTAGATTTATGAATTAAAAACTAGCATTTTCAATGGCACACAATTTAAACCACTTCAGGATTGAGAATATTCATCCCTTTTCAATCACATTTAGCGTTATCTCCTCACTGGTTGTTGTTGATTCTTTCTTTTGGGATTGGTCACGTCATACTCTAAATGGGATGATGTTGCAGTCAGTGTTCCCTCTAAGCTGAGTCAGTGTGAGCTAGCTCACAGTTTTTTAGCCTCCAGCTCACGCATTTTTATCTTAACCCAGGAAGGATGGCTCCAGAGCAAACTAATTTATGCAGTAGTCAAATTGCTTGCTCACAACTTTAATGCCAGTAGCTCACAAAGGAGAATTTTTGCTCACAAGACCCCACAGCTTAGAAGGAGCATTGGTTGCAGTGTATGTAGCCATGCATAGCACCTGTGCGATGCTACTACTATGGGATAATTACAGCAATTGGAGTGAAGTTCATTTAAACAAATAAATTAATTTTTTTTCAAGGAATGATTAAAAAGTAGTTGAGAAGCAGAGATTCATGGGAAAGTATCAGAAGTTTCTATTTAGCTCTCTAGAGGTGTGCATAAGTCCCCTGACTTGTGGCTTTATTCATCAGATACATATCTAGTTAAAATTCAGATGAATTGTTTTCAGAGCAATTTACAAATTCATGCAAATTTGTTTATATTTTAGGCACACTGAACATGTGCATTCATTTTCCCCCCTCCCCTTTTACAAAGATTTCATTAGTTAGACCCCAGATTTTTGACCCTATTCATGCTCAGTTGGACTGTATCTGGTGCAGTCAGAAAATATACTATTGGCCACCTTCTTAAGTGAACTATAGAACCTGAGGAGAGATAGTATTGTGGCAATAGAGCAGAGGTCTCCAACGTGGTACCCATGTGTGCCAGTGGTGCCTGCCAACACCTTTGCTAGTGTCTGACAAGTGTTTTTAGAAAGTGGGTGGGCCAGGTAGGGCTTTTGCCCAGCAAGACCTCTGATTGGCTGTGCAGACTTTTTAAAATGTTGCTTTGGCAGCAGCTGCCACCACAACACAAGTATCTGCACTGTGTGACTGAAGTTAAGATGTGGTAATCATTTTGTGGCTGGTTCTGCTACCTGTGGCAGCCATTGTGTGGGACCATTTTGTCACTGTACCCACTACCCTGTGTCAGAATTCCAAAGGTGACCACAGGCTGAAAAAGATTGGGGACCGCTGGATTACAGTATCTGACTCAGATCTGGGAGTCCTTGGTTCGAAACACCACTCTGTCATAGAAGCTTACTGGAAGACCTTGGACCAGTCACTCTCTCTCTCAGCTTAATGTACCTCCCAGAGTTGTTGTAAGGATAAATTGTAAAAGATAAGGAGGAGGAGGAGGAGATTGGATTTATACCCCGCCCTTCACTTGGCGTCTCAGAGCGGCTTACAAACTCCTTTCCCTTCCCCTCCCCACAACAGACACCCTGTGAGGTAGGTGGGGCTGAGAGAACTCTGACACAAACTGCTCTTTCAGGAACAGCTGTGCCAGAGCTTGTGATTGACCCAAGGTCACATCAGCAGGTGCAAGTGGAGGAGTGGGGAATCAAACCCGGTTCTCCCAGATTAGAGTCTGCACACTTAACCACTACACCAAACTGGCTAAAAGATAAGAATGATGTAACACCTCTGGGTCCCCATCAGGGGAAATGTATGGTGTGAATGAAGTAAATAAAATAAAGATCCCAGGAGGTGTAGTGGTTAGAATATCAGACCAGACCTGGAGAGACTTGGATTCATATCCCTGCTCAGTTGTGAAGCTTACTGGCTGACTTTGTGGCAGTCATTCTCTTTCTCTAAGCCTAACCTACTGCACAGGATAAACTGGCAAAGGAGAAAACCTTGAATGCCACCCTGGGGGGGGGGGGAAGCAGGATAAAAATGTAATCTACAGAAATATTTGCTTGATGAGAACTGCTGAAGGAAATCTGCCATTAGTGCATGTTATTTGATTATGCTTCTCAAATAAATCTTTTATGACAGCCTTCATGTCCATCTCAAAAGTCTAATGAACACAGTCCATCTGGTCTCTTCCCATCCATCTCATGCAGATCTTCACACTAGTGATGAAAGTTTCCTAAGCAATACTTTGGACTGATGACTTTAAAAAAAGGAACAGTATCTAATTGAAAACCTTTCCAACTACATTGATATATAGTTGGCTAGCTATTTGGTATGGGTTTCCTTGGTTCTTTCCCTTTGATAGGGTGCTCTCCGGGTAGTAAACTAGCAACACTAGATGCTGAATGACTGTAGAAGCAACCATCTGTTACTTGGTGATACCTAGTGTTATTCATTTCCCGTTCCTCTCTATTTTTTTGTAAGAAGGAAGCAAAGAACAACAAAAACCACACTGTTTTTGCTCCTTGACTGATTTACTTGACAAAAATATCTATAAAGTATTGACTACTAGAAGTAAATACATACGTCAGAGGAATTGAGCTCTGACTCACAAAAGCTTCTGCCAGAATAAATTTTATTTGTCTTTCAAGTGCCACAGGACTTTTTAATTCAGCTGATATGAGTTTAGGGTTGCCAAGTCCATCTTCCACCCCCAGCGGGGGACTTTGGGGGCGTTCCTGGAGGGGACGGGGCATTCCCGACGTGATGACATCACGTTGGGGACGAACGCCCCCCCCCGCCCATGCGCCAGATCTCCAGAAGCAGCAGTTCCCTGCACTTAAAGGAGCCGGCATTTCCCTTTTAAATGCAGGAGCCGGTGTTTAAGAGCAGCTGCGTTTCCCTTTTAAGAGCACGAAGCTGGCATTTCCCTGCAAGCTTGCGGAGATCAGACTTGGGAGGAAACACGGGTTCCATACACTTAAAGGGAGAGAGATGGGTGGCTGTGGGTGTTGGGGGTGGGGACCCCTGGCAAAACTGGGGACCCCTGGCAAACTGTGGAGGTTGGCAACCCTAATACAAGTTTATTTTAATAATTTGCTTGCATTTGTCCAAGATTCATTTAAAAGTTCCCTTTGAAACCTTTGGTTGAAGTTTCTAATGTTCCCAACTCACCAGGTCAGCAGCAAGGGAACTTGCCCTAGTTACCTCAGCAATGGGCCTGAGGTCTTCCAACCCATTGTTTCCTGTTAGGGATGCCAGCCTCCAGGTTGAACCTGGTGGTCCCCTGGAATTTCAGCTCATATCCAGGCTACAGAGATCATTCCGCCTGGAGAAAATGGATGCTTTGGAAGGTGGACTTGTACCCCACTGAGGTCCCTGTCCTCCCCAGGCTCCATCCCCAAATCTCAAGGAGTTTCCCAGCCTGGATCTGGAAACCCTATGCTGCCATCACCTGCTGGTAGTCAGGGGGACCTGGCAACCCTGCTTCAGATTGTAGTCAAGGAGTATGCCCCAGTTGCCTGGACAACGAATCTGGTGTCTCCCACCCTGCTAGTAAAATTTGCTGCAAAAGCTACCTTAGCAACTGAGATTACAGCTCTTCCATTGGTAGTCTGATAGGGTGCTTCATCTCTGGCCTGGGTGGCTGCGTCTATAGCAAGTGTCTCCACTTCTCCACTCATGCCTCCGTCTCCTACACGTTAGTGTTTCATTCAAAAGTTTTTTTCCCCCTTTTGCTGTAAGCAGCTTTCAATTCCTTCTTGGGAGAAAGCATGGAATAAATATTTAAGTAAATTAAATAAGTATTAATTTGCTCAAATTAACATTTACCCCCTTAAGTGTCCTAGCATGTTCATTAGAGGTGCCAAAGTCCAGGTGGTGGCTGAAGGTCTCCTGGAATTGCAACTAATCTCCAGGCTACAGAGAGCAGTTTCCCTGGAAAAAATGGCTGCTTGGAAGATGGACTCGGTGGTATTATACCCTGCTGTGGTCCATCCCTGTCCCCAAACCCCACCCTTCCTGGGTTGCATCCCCCAAATCTTCGGATATTTCCAAACCCAGAGCTAACAACCCTAAATTGTTCATAGTCATTGTAGGTAAAGGGGGATGATCCTAGTACCTTGAAAAATCCAACCAGAACTTCAGCAAATCAGATTGGTGAAGTCTGAGACTAGGGATGGGCACAAACCAAACCATGAAGCAAAATTAATTTTGTCCTGTTCATGGTTCATGAACCTAAGTTCATGATGGGTCTAATGTCACAAACTTCCACAAACTTTAAAAGCAGTTCATGGCAGTTTGTGGATAGAGCAGAAAGCAGATGCTTAAAGGGATTCTGTCCCTTTAAACTGCTGCTTTTTGTTCCCCATGAAAGCCACAAAAACAGCTGAGCAGTGGGAAGCAGCCTGATCCCTTCTGCTCAGATGTTTTAGTCTGTCTTGTGCAATCCCTTTAAACTTTAAAGGGACTGCAGAAGAAAACCTGAAAAACAGCTGAGCAGTGGGGAACTCCCCACCATGCTTCTCCCCTGCACTCACATGGAAAGCTCTCCAACATGGTGATTCCCACCATGCTGCTTCCCTCTACCATACTCCTCCATGCCACTCAACTGTTTTTGGGGGGCTTTCTTGTGCAGTCCCTTTAAACTTTAAAGGAACTGCAGAAGAAAGCTCAGAAAACAGCTGAGCAGCAGGGAGCTCCCCACCACTCATGGAGGGAGCTCCCCACCATGTTGCTCCCTGCCATCCTGCTCCCCACCACCACACTGCTCCCCACCGCTCAGCTGTTTTTTGGGCTTTCTTGTGCAATCTCTATTAATGTTCAAAGGGACTGCACAAGAAAGCCTGAAACAGCTGGCCAGAGAGAGCATGCTGCAGTCCCTTTCAACGAGGTTTGCAGGGCCACGAACCATGAACCTGTTCGGTTTGCAAACAAACCTCCCAGTTCAATTTGGTTTGTGGTTTGAATATGAACCACGAATTGACACAAACCACATTTTTTG